TTTTTTCTACTCATTTCAACTGCTAAAATCAAACAACAGCATATTCAAAGAATCAACTTATAATTGATCTTTCTGGATTTATGAGTTGTATTGAACTGAGGTGGTCATGTTACCTTTCCCTGTTTTTTTTTCCTCTGTTGGAATTCTTAACTCTGGCTTTATGCAAAGTCTCAAGAATTTAATAGATAAAAAAGATCTAACAAACCTGAACAATTCACTAATTTGTCATATTCATCTTTCCCTCTTTTTTTTATGTAATTTGCTCACTGTAAGGTTTTCCTCAACCAAATCTCTTGAGATGCCTCCAAAATCTTTTCTTATTTAAAAAATTGTTTGAAACACAATAGATTGAAAAAGAAATTTTACTGTGTGAAAAATCAAAGTGTGGAGGTGCTTTTGGTCGAAGCAGGTGAGAGAGTGGAGCAGATGGCGAGGTTGGGGCTCTGTGTCGAGTGCATAATGTGCCCTCCGGCCGGGGGAAGCAATGTCTAAATTAATATGATTTGTCCACCTTTGATATTTAAGAGGATTATACCTTATGTTCAAACAGGAGTGGGTGAATGGCCTCGGATGAAAAGTGACACAGAGCAGAATAGAATTAGCAGCTCCTGAAGGACTTCTTCATTCATTGTTAACTTATTGCCTAATCCTTATTAGGATGTTCAGGTCTGAGGGAGCTGGTCCTGGCTGTGGGGGCCATGTGCCCCTATTGTGCATCTGATGGTTAATCATGCTGTCATGGCAGGAGGGGGTGGATGCAAATGGAAAGAGTGTGAGGGATCAGGAAAGTGCATAAAGGCCCCCTGCTCTTATGGGTGTTACCCAGTCTGGCTGAGCTCTGATTCTCTTCGACAGCGTTAAGTATGAAGCACAGAGCTGAGGCGCAGGCTGCCAGCATGAGCACAAGTTATATCACATATGGATCCACACGTGTAAACCTGCAAATTACATCCTAGTCTGTTTGGAAAAAAGTGTAGAATTCAACCTTTAATTTCAGGCCCAGTCCAGACAGAAAAGGCATCTCTAGTACAAGATGTTGATGCAGAAGACACTCCTTTATTTGATTTATGTTATTGCACTTGATTTTACTGGTGGTTTGCAAACTTTTAGGGGAGAAATTACCCATACTTCCATCATGCGGTAACTATCTTTCTCTCAGAATAATTAGATAATGAAATGTTAGCAAATATAGTGCTGTCCTGTGACTGATCAAAACCCTTTTACGTCATGTCACATTTGCCCATAGTAGAGGCTGCTATGTAAATCAGTTTTAACTAATCCAGTTCTCACACCAATGGGGCAGAGCAGTGGATTAAACAGAGTGGAGACACTCCCACAGGCATACGCTGTACAGCCCGGCGGACCCCACTTCCGGGTTATGGAACTCTCAATAGTTCCAACATGACCGCCTGTCGCGTCGGACGCCGTTCGCTTCTGTGGCCACAAGGCAAGCACTCACTGAGATTTAATGATAAAATATCAACAAGTTTAATGCTAAGTGTGTAAATGGTATCAAGGGACCCCTTTATATGTAAAATGATTTTAATTTTAGTATGCTCAAATTGTAATTACAAATGTAATTACGTTTTTTTTAGTTAGGAATTGGGATTGATTTTTTGCTAGTTGGACGCATAGACTGTATATAAGATGGACAGAGTCTGCCTCCTCGCTGGGTGAAGCCACTCCGAACAGCACCCTCTGATGGTGGGCTGCAGTACAGGTCATAAATCCCGCCTCCGCCAGCAAAGCTTATGGGGCTGTGGACAAACTTTAGAAATTTATTACACAGAACATACATTTTCTCCCCCCTGCTTGTGATGTTGACATGTAGTTATTGTAAGACTGGTTTGTGCCCAAGTCCTTTTTTTTCTGTACAGCTCCGTTTTTAAAAGTTATTAGGGGTTCATGTTTTCTATGATTGACACCTGGTACAGCCTATCGGCGTTCAGGGATTGCGTAGCTCACCCGGGGGAATGCGCTGTTTGAGCCGAGCGTCATCACAGGGACTCTCGGCGACTGGGCGGCCGAATGCGCGCATCGCTACTGCGCAGCTCTGGTTTCAAGGAAGTGGAGAAACACCCGGAAATACCGAGAGCTTTTTGGCTTCAAATCTGTATACAGGCGGGAGGCGGAACCAGGTTGTCCATAGAATATACAGTCTATGTTATTTCCTGGCAAAATACTAACGCTTCCTGTTGAGCATTTCAAAGTAAAAGTTTCATCCGTCTCAGGTAAACTCGACTCCCCAAACCCACAAACAAATCTGTATTTCTGATTTAACCATTTCAATTCAATTTATTCATCTCTTTATCTCGAGATAACGCTGTTTTAAGGGGACCTGCCATCAAAATTATCATTTTAATCATTTTTTCATAATCCTTGATGTCCTCTGATCATGTTTGCAACATAATTTTAGCTGAAAAGTTATTTGATGGTTTGTTTTAGTATGCCTAAAAAACCTTACAGGAAAACCAACTGGTTTTGGCTCATTAACATTTATGGTAATGAGCTTTGCTCTGATTGGATCGCTGCTGTGAAGCCTGCTGTGCTCTGATTGGCTCAGCAGTGGAGGTTCGGATTTCGGTTTATCAATTTTGCTAATGTGTGCTAAAGTAAGGTGCCCAGATGTCTGTAATGATATCCGGGGATATTCGGTGCAGCGGCGGCGGTGCAGGGGCTGCAGGGGCTGTGTGATCACAGAGAAAGTCTCGGTACTATTTAGTAACAGCGCATGCCCCTTGTAATAACCCCCATAAGAACTGTTGTTCAGCTCTGCTAACTTGTGCTTCCTACCTATTCGGCCACTGTAATAACCATTGTTTGAGCCCACACACAACATTTTTGCTCTCATTCATGAAACGCTTAAATCGGGGACATTTTCGGGGACAGCTTTTGCCGGGGACAGGTCATCCAATACGGGGACTGTCCCCGGAAATCGGGGACGTCTGGTCACCTTATGCGAAAGGCTAAAAACGGCAGGTATTAAACCATATATTTTAGACCCCGAGTCTGAAGAGGAGGTGGAAGTGGAACAAGAAGCCGGAGATCTCCAGCGGTGTTTTCTCATTCATTCTGCCCAGCTTTAAGTTCATTTTCCCGGCAGTGAACCGAAGGAAACACCGGTCGTTTGGAAGAGACCCATAGCGGATACAGTGGTAGCTGGGTCTCGCTCTGGCTGTGACTGAGTACGAGAACCTGACAATGAACCTTAATAAATCTACGCTTTTTCCCCCCAAACACTGTGATCTGGCAGAATTAAATGGTATTCCCATTAAACAAACTGTGACATATTTGGGTGTTGTACTTGACAAAAATGAGAAGAGGCGCTCTGAGTTAAACTTTGAACCAATAACTCAACAGATACAAAGAAAATTCAATATGTGGTTAATGAGGGATCTATCTTTACACGGACGGATTCTGTTATCCAAAGCTGAAGGAATATCAAGATTTGTATATCTATCACTAGCACTAGAAATGCCTGCTGTAGTCTCCAAGAAATTAGATCAAATCTTATTCAAGTTTATCTGGAAGAACAGACGCCATTATTTAAAAAAAGTTATCTTATGTAATACCAAGAGGGATGGTGGTTTGGATGTGCTAACCTTCGAAATATTGAATCACTCTTTCAAGATCAACTGGCTGAGTAAGTTATGTAGAGAGAAGAACAACCTCTGGAACTCCTTTGCTACACATGTATTCAACTCACTTGGTGGTATACGCTTTATGTTGAAATGTAATTACAAAATTGAGAAGCTTCCTGTTAAACTCTCTAACTTTCACAAACAAGCCTTGCTGTCCTGGAAACTGATCTACAAACATAATTTCTCACCAACCAGCTATTATATTTGGAACAATGAAGACATCGTTTACAAAAACCGATCACTGTTTTACAAGGACTGGATGGAGCACAACATTTTACTAGTCGACCAACTTCTTAACGACCATGGCTTTTTACTTTCTTATGAAGAATTTATGTTAAAATTTCAACTCCTAGTCACCCCAAAACAATATGCAGTGGTTTTTGATGCATTACCTCAGGGGGTGCTACAACTTCTTAAAGGGTCTGAAAGAACGGCTGCTACTCCAGGAAATTACACCTGTGATATATTTGTGGGCGGAATAGACATTACAAAAAGACCCTGCTCGAATAGACTGTTGAGAAGCTGCCTACAACCAAAGACACTGCCTAGAGGTCAAACTAACTGGTCTGTACAATTGGGAGAAATTAACTGGAGCAATGCATGGCTGGTTGGTGAAAAATTCTGTCTCAATAACAAGGTCAAAGAAGTCTCTTTTAAAATATTACATCAGATTTACCCTGCAAAGAAAACTCTTGAAAGATTCAAACTGGACATTGAATATTTATGTGATTTCTGTGGACTTGAAGATGAAACCATCTCTCATTTATTCTATCATTGTACCTACAGTAAAACCTTTTGGATTGATGTCCAACAATTTGTGCACGAGAAAACAGGAAGAACGCTCAGTTTCCAGGAAAAACATATTTTTATTTATAATGATGACCAGGACAAAGATCTGTGCTTTTTTTGTCAGTTGATCTTGAGCTTGGGGAAATTCCATATCCACAAAAACAAATGGGCCAAATCTAAGCCAAACATTGCACCCTTCAAAAATGAACTGCTCCGTTATGCTGCCACGATCAAGGATATTAAGAACAAGAAAGCTACCAAAACATACTCTATAATGAAGAAATTCTGTACCATTGAACTCTATCCAGCCTGGTGATGACTCGATGCAGTGCAGTTAATTCAGGCGAACAATTATTGTCGGCGAGTGCGCATGCGCGGCTCTCTGTTGCTACTCAGTTGCTGTAGTTACCAGGAAGATTAACCGCGATGATCAACTGGCCCTGGTAATATCATCTAGCTTGCTAGCAGTTTGCATGCATTCAGATATTAAGTTGGAGGTGAGAGGTGCCATTCAAGACAAAATATCCTAGGGAGAGTTCACCCGACGGCTTGTACACTTTTACTGCAAAGATGCCAGCTGTGACCTGGGATAAGGAGGTTTCTGAATTCTCCTCAGAAGACGAGCACGAAGACCATCCCTGCATTGCCTGGAGTGGCCATAGCAAGAAAACACCAGTCCTCTTGTTTTTCCCTGAAGCTGCTCTCAGCAGTTTCTCCTCTGTTGGAGAGCGATCTAGTATGGCCTTTAAGATTGTGGGCAAAAAGAGCCGCCTGGTCCGAGGAATACTCACCAACCATGGGTTCCATGAGGTTCCCTCACACAGTGATAACTTTGTCCTGATGTGGACAGGATCTCAGCTCACGCCTTCAATGCCGGGCAGCTTTAAAGACTTCCAGAAGGTCAACCACTTTCTCAGGTCGTATGAACTGACGCGCAAAGACAATCTCTATAGAAACATCCAGCGAATGCAGATAATTCATGGCTTCAAAAACTTCGATATCATTCCTAAAGCCTTCGTGCTTCCCTCTGAATACCAGAAGTTCCGTGATTATTTTGCTAAATATAAAGGCCTGTGGATTATCAAACCAGTAGCATCTTCAAGCGGGCGTGGCATCTACTTGGTCAAGAATCCATATCAGATTTCTTTGGGTAAAAACACCTTGGTGTCTCGCTACTTAAACAACCCACTACTCATTGATGGGTTCAAGTTTGATTTGCGGCTGTATGTGTTGGTGACTTCATATGATCCACTTATTGTCTATTTGTATGAAGAGGGGCTGGCCAGATTTGCCACAGTCAAGTACGACTGTACTCCAGAGAACATAGAGGACACATTGATGCATCTCACTAACTACAGCTTGAACAAAAAGAACAGCGATTATGTCCGCTGCGATGACCCTGAAGTTGAGAATTATGGGAGCAAGTGGAGTATGAGTGCAGTGTTGAGGTATTTGAAGCAGGAGGGGAAGGACACCACATTGCTGATGAGGAAGGTGGAGGACCTCATTATCAAAGCTTTACTGAGTGCTAGGCTGCAGATCGCCAAAGCCTGCAAGAAGTCCGTCCCTCACAGGACAAACTGCTTTGAGCTGTATGGTTTTGATGTGCTCATTGACTCCAAACTCAAACCCTGGTTAATAGAGGTGAATCTTTCCCCATCTTTGGCCTGTGATGCTCCACTGGATCTGAAGATAAAGGCCAACATGATTGCAGACATGTTTTCGCTTGTGGGCTTTGTTTGTCAGGACCCCCTATCAAGCCATCCACGCTCTGACCGAGTCGCCCTGAAGCACCCAGCAGTCCAAAAAGTCCACAAACCGTCTTCTACACCGGTAGGCGGTGCACGCAGAAAAGTGCGCCAGGGGCCTGCATTAGCCAGTAACTCGGAAACAGAGGGGTCCAAAGACAAGCCAGGACCCAAACAATGCCAAAAAGACAGCACCCCAAGCTTAACTGCAGAGGAGATTGAAATGCTGTACAGGAAAAAGGAAGAGAATGAGAGACGAGGAGGCTTCATCAGGATCTTCCCTACCACAGAAACCTGGGCGCTCTATGGACAATATCTTGATTCCATGACATCACTGAACTACATGCTGGCTAACAGACTTTTCCAGGAAAGAAATGGGAATGGGAATGAGCAGCTGCAGGTGGACGGTTGTCATGCTGTCCAGTACGAGAGGAAGCTGCGACCACTTGAGGCGCACAAGAGGACACAGCGCCACCTGACTCATTGCTCTGCTGCTGGGAGGAAGAAATCTGTTGACCAGCCTGAATAAAGCCAGCAGGATGCTGGGTGAAGAGAGCTGCACACCGCTGCTACGACCCATCAGCCAGTGAAAGCTGTTAACTCTGGAAAGGATCACTGTGACACCATTAGGTGACTTCACCTAATGGTTTGACCAAAATTATTCATCTGCTTTTTACAGCCAAATAAAAACTCACTGGGGAAAGCGCACTGCTAATGTCAGCTAGTGGTCTGTATAGCTTGATAGCTGCTTGGCTAAAGTTCATTAAACAGCATGTAAAAAAAAAAAAAAAAAGACTGAGTACGAGAACGAGAGAGTGGGCGCGGCTCACCGAGGACGCGCTCGTGAATAACAATGAGCAAGGTCAGCGCGACGTCAGATTGACCTGCTTTTTCAATTGGCCTGGCTTACTCGTTCCTTTATTTTAAACCTTTACAGAATGCAAACGACGTAACGGTTTGTTTTCACATTTACAACATAAGACGAACACTACAAGCAGGGGGGAGAAAAAATTATGTTCTGTGTAATAAATTTTTAAAGTTTGTCCACAGTCCTATAAGCTTTGCTGGCGGAGGCGGGATTTATGACCTATACTGCAGCCCATCAACAGAGGGTGCTGTTCTCGGAGTGGCTTCACCCAGCGAGGAGGCAGACTCTGTCCATCTTATATACAGTCTATGATTCAAACCCAAAAACAGAGATGCATTCGTTATTTTTTATCTCTTTTTTTCTTACCTCAGAATCTAAATATGTCGAAGTCATGGGCTGTGTGAAACAAGGATGTATCTTGTCACCCTCTGGTTCTATTTTTAGAACCAGTATTTTTAGATTAGCCTATATTTCACATTCTGTTGTATCTCTTTTTCAGCCAAACATCTTTTTTATTATTTATGCCGATTTAGAAAGATTTTTCAAGTTAATAAAAGCATGTAATGACTTCACTCTATGTGTGAATTAGTATAAAGTACCATCACATGAAAATAGGCTTCTTTTTACTCAAGTGAAAAGGTATTTTGGCTCAGAGCTGATGTGATATTTTTATTTTTTAAAGTTCAAAATTCGATATCTTTATGGCCTTTTTGATGCCTTATGATGGGCTTTGTCAAATAACAATGATCAACTTTAGGGTTTTTCGAAAAACAGGGGGACAAAGTGCTTTACAGATCTAGTTACTGCTCTAAAATATTGATATGATAGGAGTATATATAGACTATTTTTAGTAGCCTTCTAAAGAAAATCGACTGAATTTAATTGAAGTAAAGGCTTCAGTGGAAATTATAATGAAACACAAAGTTTCCAGTTTTTGTTGGGTTACCTAAGAGACATAGGCCTACTAAGCTATAGTTTTCAAAAAGGGGTCGTTTTGTACCGAAATAAGGAAGGTTTTTAAATTAAAATGCTTTTTAAACTCTTAAACTAGTTGACGAAAAATAACCTCCACTTTACTTCAAGAGATATTTATATTCCATTGAGATTAAAGTAAATTAATGATAATATTAAACTTTTAGATAAAACCTACAAGTGTAAAGGGGCGTTCAGACCAAACGCGACGCGACCTGGTCGGTCACGTCGCGTCGCGGGGTGCTCTGGTGTGTTCACACCGGGTCCAAAGCTGCAGTCGCAGGTCGCGGCTGGTCGCCGGTGACGTCATCCATGTCACTAGCTCAATTTTCAGTTCATCAGTGCTGCCGCATATCTGTACATCCGCAGTAGACGCCGCCGGCGTTTATGGGTGCATGAAACCATCCGGAGGAGGACGGAGCTGGGTGAATTTCACCGCTTGCTCCAGGAACTCCGCCTGGACGACGGCTGCTTCCAGCGGTATTTCCGTGTGTCGACGGCGCAGTTCGAGGACCTCCTCGCCCGGGTGGGAAGCAGCATCTCCCGCCTGGACACGAAATACAGGCGCTCCATCTCAGCTTCGGAGCGCCTGTCTATCTGTCTGTCCCTCATATAAACGTCCCTGAGCCCCTTCCACCGCTTGCGGCAGTGGTGGTGGTGGTGTTGGTGGACGGGGATTCTGCTGCCTCCGCAGTGCCAGAAAGAGGAGCTCCTCTAGCTCCTCCAGTCTCGAGGAGGGAAGCGTCCTTCTCTTCCTCCCTGTCATAAAAAAAAAAAACTAATCTGTTACTATTTGTTTCATAATTTCTATGTGAATTTGACCTTGAACAATTTCATTGAAGATATGGTTAATATTTTTTTCAATACCTTTTGGCCTGGCTGCAGTGGGGCCTGAGGCATCACTTGAAGCAGATGAGGGAGCAGGAGACAATGAGGGGGCAGGAGAAGGTGACAGAGCTGAAGCAGGAGATGGAGCTTGAGCAGGAGAGGGAGCTGAAGCAGGAGAGAGAGCAGGCTTATCTGTAGTTAAAGTTGTGACAAAAATGTTTGAAATCCAAAACTCTGCAATCAGGCAACATTGCAATTCAAATTAAAAATGTTCAGAAATTATATGTGCATGATTTGATCTGTCCATCTTAAATTAGACTACAATGGTGTGTTTAAACCATGAGGGGACTCAAATTTACTTGCTATCTTTTTCACTCATCAACTAACCGTCAAACTCCACTCCTGAGGGGCCTGCTTCCTCAAGCTCTTCGGGCATCCCAGCAGCATTTTCTGCGGTGATGTCTTCCTTGACCTCCCGAGACATGTTGCTGCTTGTCTCCCTCGGGGCCATAAAAGGGTCGAGGAACGACATTACCGCAGAGAAACGCCACTTCTTCTGCTGGGAGGCCGCCGACCCGCTTCTCCCACCTTCCTTCTCTCTCCTTTTCTCCCTCATATAAACGTCCCTAAGCCCCTTCCACCGCTTGCGGCACACATCCTCTGCAAAGACACACACACATACGTTGAAACATGTACCCTAGCAAGCAGGGGCAGTTATCTATGTTTTCATAAAACAGTCCACTCACTGAAATAAATAAATAAACAAACAAGCTTACCAGAAAGCCCGACATCACGGGCCACCTTCCCCCATGCTTCTTCTTTGGCGTTGCGGTCCCGGTACAGCCCGCAACCCACGTCGTATAGCACCGGGTGGTAGCTAACGGATGTGATTAACTGCTCCTCCATTGTGATTCTTCTTCTCCTCTTCCTTGTTTCGCCGGTTTGTTGACGTCAGCAGAGCCCTGATTGGCTGTCGCGGCACGGAGTCGCTCCCAAAGTTCAAATATTTGAACTTTGGGAGCGACGCGACTTGGCGTCCTGCGACCTCGGCGACGCGACCTCGGGGACGCGCCTTGGCGACCGGTCGCTAGGTCGCGTCAGGTCGCGTCGCAGGCAGCCGGCGGTCGCCAAGTCGCGTCAGGTCGCGGCTGGCCATAGACTTTGCATTGGGAGCCGTCGCCAAGTCGCGGCTGGTCTGAAGGGTTTTTCTCAAGTAAACAGCATTTTAAATCTCCATGGTAACATGTGACGATGTCAAAACTTTAAATCATTATCAACACGAAAAACTTGTGGCTCACGAACATACAACTTTTGACGGCTTCATCGGTAATAAAACCTCAGCAGACGACAAAGGATTCCAACAAAAACCTTCGACCAACACCTGAACAGAGAGGACAACATCTCCGACAAACACCTTGGACCAACACCTGAATAAAGAGGACATCTACGACATGGAGACCGTAAGATTTCATGACAATATTAATACAAACTTGTGCTACTGTCGAGACTTTCGTGATGGTTAAGCGATGCATCGACAAGAATTCAATGTGTGCATGGGTATTTACAGTGTTTATGACTTTAATGTGACAGGCATTATCAAAATTAACCGAAAATAAGTGAACATGGGCGTTTTTTTGTGTGTGTTACTGTCGAGACGTTCGGATGGTTATCTTAAAAGTGATGCATTTACATCACATGAAAGTCCTGCCCACCATGTCAAAGACTCCATATGTGCTTAAGAGCAGAAAAGCTCATGTTATTGTGAGAAATCTCTACAAGAGATTTTTTATGTCTTCTGGGCTAGTTAAAGCCGTCAGTCTGAAACTATTTGACAGTTTCTTTTATACTAACCAATGCTATCAGGTGAAAACTGTAAACACAAGCTATTTTCACTCTTATTACAGCGAAAGAAGCGCATTAAAGCAGTGAAATGTAGTATTAAAATAAGGGACACCTTCATAACTTTAAAGAATGTCAGTCATCATAAAATTCAACAAAATAAACTAAAAAGACATAATAGTTAGACCTATTTATAAGTGCTCTAATAGGTCACCAAAAAAATCCTATGAATTACATTTGAACCTATTTACAAAGTTACAAAAACAGACGAAATTAAGTTAAAAGACATGTCTTACGTACAGCCTTTAAAATGAAGAGTTCAATAATGTTCCACTGAAATATGTTTTCATGGATCAAGTGTGTGTATTTTTTTTACCACAATATTTAAAATTTCAATTGTGGGAAAAATTCACTAAGTGAACACCCATGTCCCGTTCCAAGCCTCGCTGTGTAAGTAGGAAACTACACTGACAACATAGATAGGCCATTAGCATGCCTTCAAAACAACATACAAAACTTTTATAGTCTGAATGATTTTAATTACAGAAATATGTTTCTGAATTTGTCTTTTTTAATTTTAATTTTCTTTAACTGAATTATATTCATTAATTTATTTCAAAGATGTGAAACCTTCCCCTGGATTTTATAATTTGTCGGTTTTTCTGTCTCAGGCCCGAATGGAGCAGTACAGCCTCGTCAAGAACCAGGATACTACTTCTAGGCTGTTACTGAGAAAGGTCCCACCAAAGGACGGCCCTCCACGTTTCTCCTCCCCCAAAGAAAAACAGGTCTCTCCCTCTCCTCCTTTCTCTCGCTCTTTTTCTGCACGTTTCTCCCTCTTTCTCTCCACCTATTCTCCCTCTTTCTCTCCCTCTCCTCCTGTCTCTCCCTCTTCCTCTTCCTTTCTCTCCTCCTGTCGCTCCCTCTTTTTCTCCCCCTCCTTCATTCTCTCCCTCTTTCTCTCCTACTTACTCTCCCTTTTTCTCTGCTACATTCTCTTCCTCTTTTTCTCCCTCGTCTCCTGTCTCTCCCTCTTTCTCTCCCACTTTCTCTCCTACTTTCTCTCCCTCTTTCTCTCCTCCTGTCTCTCCCTCTTTTTCTCCCTCTCCTCCTGTCTCTCCCTTTTTCTCTCCTACTTTCTCTCCCTCTTTTTCTCCCTCTCCTCCTGTCTCTCCCTCTTTCTCTCCTACTTTCTCTCCTACTTTCTCTCCCTCTTTTTCTCCCTCTCCTCCTGTCTCTCCCTTTTTCTCTCCTACTTTCTCTCCTACTTTCTCTCCCTCTTTTTCTCCCTCTCCTCCTGTCTCTCCCTTTTTCTGTCCTACTTTCTCTCCCTCTTTTTCTCCCTCTCCTCCTGTCTCTCTCCTTTTCTCTCCCTCTTTCTCTCCCTCTTTCTCTCCCTCTCCTCCTGTCTCTCCCTCTTTCTCGTCCTCTATCTCTCCCTCTCCTTCTGTCTCTCCCTCTTTCTCTCCTTCTCCTCTTGTCTCTCCCTCTTTTTCTTCCTCTTTCTCTCCTACTTTCTCTTCCTCCTTTTCTCCCTCTCCTCCTGTGTCTCCCTCTTTCTCTCCCCCTCCCCCTGTTTCTCACTCCTTTTTTCCCTCTTTCTCTCCTACTGTCTCTCCTCCAGTCACTCCTCCTATCTCCCTCGCCTTTCTTTCTATCCATCTCTCCTTCTAGGTCTTGTCCTTCCTCCCCCTCTTCAGGTTGTTGCTCCCGTACTGCTTGCCCCTCTCTCTGCTCTTCTCTTCAGAGTAGGAGCTGTGGCCAGGCTTGGAGCCTGAGGACCCAGTGGAGCTGTCCAGATGGAGGAGACCCCCCCCCCCCCCCCATCTCCCACCCCTTTCTTTCTATCCATCTCTCCTTCTAGCTCTCCCTAACCCCCCCCGTCTCTCCCTCTTTTTCTCCCTCTTTCTCTCCCTAACCTTAACCCTAACCCCCCCCCCCCGTCTCTCCCTCTTTTTCTCCCTCTTTCTCTCCCTAACCCTAACCCTAACCCCCAACCCTAACCCCCCCCCCCCCCCCCGTCTCTCCCTCTTTTTCACCCTCTTTCTCTCCTACTGTCTCTCCTCCAGTCCCTCCTCCTATCTCCCGTCCCTTTCTTTCTATCCATCTCTCCTCCTAGCTCTTCTCCTTCCTCCCCCTCTCTCTCCCCCTGTCCTCTCCCCTCTTCCCTCTTCTCTCTACTTTCCTCCCCAACCCAGCAGCGGCATGGTGGCTGTCTGGCATGAGTCGGGTCCTGCCCAAGGTTTCTGCCTGTTAAAAGGAAGTTTTTCCTTGCCACTGTTACTCATGTTAGTTGAGATGGGCCAAAACCCATCTCAGGTTGGTTCTTGGTCTTCAAACAATGAGCGTGGTCTAGACCTGCTCTTGTTCCTTGAAAAGCGTCTTGAGATGACGACTGTTGTGAATTGGCGCTATTTAAATTTGATTTGATTTGATTTGATTCTGATTGTTGCTCTAGTACTGGTTGCCCCTCTCTGTGCTCTTCTCCAGCCAGGTCACCGGGACCTACCCACAGCCCCTTCCCCTGCCTCCCCCCTCTGATGTCAGAGTACGAGCAGTGGCCAGGCTTGGAGCCTGAGGACCCAGAGGAGCTCTCCAGATGGAGGAGACCCACAAAGCACTCCACAACCTGGCCCCCCCACCTACAGGATCTTCTCCACCTCTACATCCCCTATTTTGCATGCAAATAAATTGTGACATTTTAGTTTAAACCATGTCTTAAGTTGTGTTTTCGAAAGATGAAAGTTCTTGAACCCTTTGCACACACTTACAGCCTGTCTCCTCACAGCATTTTAAATCAATTGTATTGGATATCACATAATATGTGCAGAGAAGAAGAAAAGAAGAGTTCAGAAAAACACAAGATTTGTAAAATATTAAGACTGATGAGGCTGTAAAACCAAGTTCTTAAATACAAACTGATTTATTCTCAAGTGGTTTGTTACAGCCGCTAGAGGATGCTTTATGTTTAGTGCTGAGTATGCTTTTAAACAGTCTTTATTATTATGTCAGCACTGTGGGTCAGCTCAGGTGAAAAGAAAAACTCGTCATAGTTCTTAGGTGTGTTAGGGGTTAAAAAAAACTGTGGCTGAAAACACAATAGGAGTTACTAAAAGAAAGAAAAAGAAAGAAAGAAAGAAAATATAAAAGAAGGAAGGGAGGACAGATGGCTGGAAGGAAGGGGGGTAAAAAAAAAGCCTAAACACTTATAATCATTTTTACTCAAGCTACTTTTGAGTTGTGTTAGTAATCAGAAGGCATGAATCCTGTCTCTTCTGCTGATTATTCAACACCTTTACTGGCCAAACTACAAAATGATTTATAACCAAAGAAAGAAAAAAACTGGAAGAAAGAAGGACAGAAAGAAAAAAAAAATATGATCAACTTTACCTATCAAATACTGTAAATTAGATGTCTTCATCCTAGTTAAACATTTTGTGATAGACAGGTAATTAATTAATTGTTTGGTAAACTGCTTTGGCAGAAGTATCAGGCACTACTCGTGATAATAAAAACAATTCAAACATGGATTAAGGGAGGAAGAAAGAAGAAAGAAATGTTTAAAAGAAAGATAAAAAGAAGAGGGAAAAAAGAAAAGAAGAAGGGAAGATAAAAAATGAAGCAACTTTGCCCTCATGATCATTGTTTTTATCAGAGCTATTTCTGAGTTACATGAATGATCCTGATCCTGTGTCTTCTGCCACTCAGCAAAAACATAAAAAGAAAGAAAGAAAGAAAGAAAGACCTTTTAATCGTGTTTGATTTATTAACAGTATTGTGTGAAGGAAAAAAAAAGTCTTTTTAGGGATGCCGCTGGATTTCATGGTTTTATTCATGCTGATCTGACTGAATGTTGATAAAAGCAGTGATGGATTCTTATATCCAAGCTGAAAAATATCAATCCCGCTGAGTTTTCCTGGTTTTCCTTCAGGTTGTTTTCCACTGGAATTGGTTCACAGCCTGGTCGCTGTACATTTTGTTGCCTATTTTGGAGGCTTGTTGCTAACTGGAATAGGTGTGCTGATACAACATTGTTTAGTAAATCACTCTCTAAGTCACCTGCAGTACAAGCGAATTTCACAGGGTGACAGTGAGGAGATGTATGCTTTTGGTGCGTTTACTGGGCTGCACACTTTGGATGGAGACCTATCCCTGCAGGTATGAACTAAAGGGTTTATGGATATAGACACTGTCCTTTACAACATGTCTCACCTGTATCCTTCCTTCTGCAGGTGTGTGCACTCATCCGTTGTGCAGGGTCGGACCCAAGCTCCTGTGGACAGGGAGTAGAAGAAGCTGAGACCAAAATGGACTCTGTGATGGAGGGGAAGTTTGGAACCAGATATGTGTACCCATCAGTTTTGGCGAGTCAAATGGTTATAGAGGAAGTCAAGCATTTTGACAAATCTGCAGATGGAAGAGTGACTTTAAAACACTCAGACATGACTGCTGGACTGGTGACCGCCTGTCTGTACGGACGGATGTATCTGCGCTTGGAACTATGGAGGGGTACATGAACCACGTGACCGCTCTGGCGGCGAGATCTGAAGTTGTCGCCACTCTGTTTAATCCACTGCTCTGCACTGGGGCACAGCCAGCAGGAGCAGGTTGGGGTCAAGTGTATTGCCCAAGGACACTTCAGCATACTGACAGTGGGACCTAGGATCAGTTTCTTTGAGAGGAGACACTGCTTAATCACTTTTTTTTGTTGTTGTTGTTGCTTTGTTTCTATTTTGATTTTTTTCTGTCTTGCTTGGAGGTTAATTTATTTCCCACTTTGTCAAACTATGCTTTTATTTTGAGGTATCCTACTTCTGTTAGATGGTAAATTACAGAGCTGAATGAAAGGAGTTAAAATCCAAAGAGGACCATCCTCTTAAGTTATTTTTGGTTTCACAATAAGTCTGGGACAGCTATTTTGTTCTGCTGACAGTGCAAATGGTTGGTTAGTGTTCTTGCTCAAAGAAGCAAAATATATTGGAAAAAAACAGGTGTAGTCAGAAAAACACACTGAGGTTTGGTATTTACTTACAGCCGGCCTTCCAAGCTGTAGTGCAAAAATATATACCAAAGTGCAAAAAATTGTAAAATACTATTGACAAAATTTACAAGGCAAAAAAGAAAATGGCAACAATACGGGAGATCCACTAAAACTCAAGAAAAAAAAAAAAACTACAAAAAATAAAAAAAAAAGGTTAGTTTGGCAGTTATTAGGCAGTAACAAACTCTAGACTCAAAGAAAGGCCCAAGCAGCCTTCTTTTAACCCCCCCAGCCCCTCCCTGTGGGCGTTGTTAATTACATAACTTAAAAAAAAAAAAAAAAAAAAAAAAAAATCATTTTTAACATTTTACCATTTACACCTCCAGAACTTTTGTGTAAGTTTTTACCATTTTGACGACGTTTTTACACAAATAATCAACAGAATATTATTTAGGGATTCATTTCAAACAACAAGGGAATATTTTTTTCTTGCATCCTGTGACCACTTTGACCCGCCATACCTATCTATTTTACACCCGGAAATCACGCGCTCTGTTTCTCATTTGAAAACCTGAACCAGCATGATGGCGTGAGTGGACGCTCGGCAGGTAAGCGGAGAGACAAATATCTGTGTGAATGTATGTTTTAGTTAACTGCTAGAGCTCCAAGTGTGCAAACGTGGTTACCCTATCCAACAGACAAGGGAGATGGAAATGTTTAGCGTCTTCGCAGGTGTGCGTGTGTGTGTGTGTGTGTGTGTGTGTGTGTGTGTGTGTGTGTGTGTGTGTGTGTGTGTGTGTGTGTGCGTGCGTGTGTGTGTGTGTGCGCGTGTTTGTGGCTCCATGCGCTGCCCGCAGTCAGTGAGGACGCTGCTCCTCAACTCGAGCAGGCCTACTGCATGTGATGCATAAGGAGTCCAAGCATAGCACTGTGTGGGCCATTGGATCTTAAGGTTTAAGATCGTTTTAGATGTTGTTTAGATATTGGTCTACACATTCACTCATTGGATTTTTGCATCTGTGTGGTGGCATTGTCTGAAGATTTTGTGCAGCACTTCACCAATTCCGCCCTCACCTTTGTGCCTAAAGCACCACCATGCTTCCCTCTAATGTCACAGTGCACTGATCTGACCTCTACATGCTCACAGAGACACTGAGGCAATACTACCATGTAAATGATGAATGTCAGGCTTATTTCTAAAGGCCTTTGGGTGATCACTGGTTTGTCAGGAGCATGAATGCAATGAAAGCAGTGTAGCAATGTTGACTTGTCACACTGGTGTAAAGAGACTGTGTGGGAGTCTATCCACAGCAAAAAGGTCAACCTCAACACTGCTCTCCAATCCGAAAACAAAGAGAAGAAGACCACTTTTACATTCACAAATGAAATCTTACATGTTTTATTCCTATTGTTGCAGTTTTAGAAATCTAACATTTTAACTTGTAAAAAGAACTAAGAGATGTACTGCACTTCAGTAATCATTTATAGTGAAAAAAAAATCAAAATCCAGCTTAGCTCCTAGTTGTCTTTGTATAGTCCTCACCTAGATGACGTGTTTGGATAGTAACAGCTATTTGTGTTGTTCTTCACAGCAAAGATCATGTTTTTATGAAAACTTTGGGTGTATAGGGCGAATCATGGGATATCCGTGTGGCATGGCAACCTCACAGTTAACCTCTTATGTAATTCACTCCACCAAAAAGGTTGGAAAAAACAAACAAACCTTCCTTCAGTCAACATATGAGGTTGTTCTCAGACAAGCACATGGGTGCTGACCCATCGTACAACCCCCACTTTGACCACGAGTTTTCATTCTTTAGCAGGCAGTACAGAGCCTCTTGTTATAAACTAAACAGCTTTAAATACATCCTGACGCTCTGTAGCTGGTGCAATGGCATTATGATGTTCTTATCTACTTGTCTTTCCCCCATTTATCCTGTTTTGTGAAGATCTTGAAGGTAGTTATTGCTTATTTGTGTTTTTATGTATTTGTATCATAGTGAAGGCAGCTGAGCATCTGCAGACAACTGTCCCCAAGTGGTAATTGGACAATATCCTCTGATATCATGTGGCATCTATGGCATTGTGGGTTAAACCGTTTTTAAAGCTAAAATTTCTGAATTACAAAACAGAAATGAAGCTAGTGTAGGAAGAGCAGATACTGTTAATACGGTTGAAATAAGTTGGAAAACAGATCAACGATAGCTTATTTATAAAATCAAAAACAGTTCAGTATCAGCGCTCTCCTAATACACTAAATTGTGTATGAAATTGACAGTAACGCATCCAATCTCAGGCAGGCCTGCAGTGTTCCCCATCAAAATGTAATTTGATTATAAACAGAAACACATCTGGCTCGTCATGCTTGTTTGTTAAAGCGCATATGAGACGGAGAGGCTTTATTCTCAGAATTAAAAAACAGGGCTGGCTTCAGTGTTGTTTAAGCAACATAAGGACAGATAAATGCATTTGAGCCCCTGGTCCATAAATTGATCTGTAAAGCAGTCACCAGAAAAATGAAAAATAATGAGAGTGGTTTGCACAGAGCTGATTGTGTGTCAGTGCCCTTATAATAAGCCAGCGGTCACAAAATGATATAGCATAAACAGAAATAAGTTATTAAACAGATATTTTAGTGCATTAAAAGTGCAATTTATTGTATTCATAACACATTATGACTTGACTCCGAATGCAAACAAGCAGCCCAGACTCAG